ATATCGGATAAAATAAATAGTTGATATATTTAAAAATAAATTTGTATTAGCTAAAAATAAATAGGTTGTATAAATGTTTAAGGAAATAGTTACTTCAAAATTAATTTGRTACAATATACAGCATAGAAATATGATCAGATGTATTCAATTTTTATTCTTTTATTATTCTTTTTTTTTTTTTAATGTAACTATTTTATGAATTAAACTAAATATCATTATTTCAGTAAGCTCTGTCAAGGATGTTTAACTGACATGAACAATTATTAATTCAACCTTTTATTTTAATAATTGTTTAAGATTAGAAATCATGAATGTTAAATTTCATTTGTTTAATCTATTTTTGGTTTATAATAAATAAATGTTTTTAAAAATTTCTATAGAAAAGTAATATTTTATAAGTATTGATCAATATTGTTCAGTTAGATAACTAAAGATAAACAGACTTCTGAGTATTGTAATAGGAGGAATACTATTTTTTATAGGGAAATATCTAATAAATACTCATTAATTATGTTATTTTCAGATGTGAGGTGTTTTTAAAAATGTACTAAACAAAAAAAGATAATTATTATACTAGAAAATAATTTCAATAAAGTAATATTTGATCAATAGTGTATGATTGAAGTTTTACTAATGGTATTTACATCCAGAATAAAGACACAGAATATTATACTCAGTTCGTTTTCGGGGTTGATATCTCAAATAATTTAAAACTTAAAAGGTTCTCTTTAAAGTAAAATTGTGTTTGTTTAAGTGTTTGTATTGTAATAATTGAATATTAATCGGTTCACATTTAAGGCTACAGCCTGCAATAATAAKATATGATGAAGACCTGCAGTAGCGTACACAGATATTATCAAATGTGAAGGAGGGTTACATAAAAAAAATCATAAATAATATATATATCTTAAACAATTTTTAAATTTTATTCTATATTTATTTACGTATAGTTAAACACCCCCCCTCACCCCACACGTGTGTACAACGGTGGAGACCAAGAAACTGTAGGTTGTTTTTGGACTAGATCGGAATATCGGATGAGACGAATACGTCACAGCGATGATAAAAGCGAAACGGTTAACGTGGTAAAACAAAGRTCACCATAATAACCGGTTGACGGACCTTTAACGTGTGTAAACTGCTTGTACGGCGCCATGGTGTGATCTAATACAGTCCGCATCCTCTTAAGTTGTTGGCGATGATGACGTCTGTGACAGCGTCGAACACGAACTGTATGTTATTGGTATCCGTCGCACACGTCATGTGACAGTAAATTTCTTTGGTGGTCGATTTGTTTTTTGCCTCGAACTGCGCCTGGATATAGGCTGCTGCTTCTCCGTACTCCTGGGCACCTACACGGCCAGATGGAAAATCGCAATTAATACATTAATTGATAGTAGCAACACGTGTATAACGATATTATGATAATGCACAACCGCAGACTTTTTGGAGGTCCGAGGCAGCCAGGTAGAATACGTGTCGCGTTGGTCAGTATAGGACAGTGGTTCTTAACCAGTGTTCCGCGGAACATTGGAGCTCCCTAAACTTGGCTAGTGTTCCGACAAAATTTCAAAATTTACGAAAAAAATCATAAAACTATTGGGATAATTTAATTTTTGGTTTAATCGTTTTTAATAATTGTACTTAATACAACACAATACGAGTATATTTATATAATTTTATTTWAAAAAAATGAAAAGTATTATTTTATTTTTCGTCTTTATGACCTAGTGCTCCGCAAAAATCTTATAAAATTATAAGTGTTCCGTGGTTCTAAAAAGGTTAAGAACCACTGGTATAGGAGGTACAGGTAATTTCAAAACTTWACTGTTTTTGATTTACAGTTTTACAGTAATTTTTATGCTACAAGACAAGATGGAGCTTATGCTTATTATTTGGTATAAAATTGGCTAAATTACATCTGTATAGTTTATTATATTTTCTGCATAGGTTAAATAAAAATGTAAAAGGAAATTTTGGTGAAAAATAATCGTTAACTGTAACTTTTAATATTATTCAAGTTATTTTTAAATATAAACGAATAATATTGAAAACTACATGAATAATTATCACTATCACATAACACGCCTATAAAAGTTAAACTGAAAATAGAAAACCTAGAAGAAAATGTTTTCTTTTTGCGTTCTCGGGGCAGTGTGCTTATGGTATTCTAATATATGCTTCCGAAAGGTGACAGATGAACGTTCAGAATACATTWTTCAGCGCGCGCCCAATCAGTATACCTAATAATATTTTTCAAATTTATATAAGCTGATGGACAATTTACAAAATGAGCTGATCGCTCTGGAAGATGCATAATAATGGTAAGTCTTTTTATTTTTGTCGATGATTAGCTTTGATAATCAACGTTATCATTAATATATTGCAATAATTTAAAAATATTTATGATCATGCTGGCCATCTAAGATAATACGAGAGTATATATAGTTTTACGTACCTGCGTATTCCGGGAAACATATTGTGAGCGGCGATTTCTTGATTTTCTCTTCGAACAAGTCCTTTTTGTTCAGGAACAATATAATAGACGTGTCAGTGAACCATTTATTGTTGCAGATTGAATCAAAAAGCTTTAAACTCTCTTGCATCCGGTTCTATAAAAATATTAAAGGTTTATTAAACTTAGAGCAATGTCAACAACTGTAATATAAACATCCATAGGTACCATATATAGTAGTTTGGTCTCGAGTATTTAAAATGGATATCCTATTTCCGTTTCCTATTTGATTATTATTTATAGTACCTATGTAGGAATACATTGTTTTGACCTATCAATGTCATCATGTATCAAATTACAAAATATGGTCTGTCTGTTGCATAAAGTCGAACAAGTGTCAAACGCCTAAATGGTTTACAACTGAATCACAGTCCTTGTTCTGTTTTTTAGTCAACATTCGTCCGAAATATATCCACATATTTTAGCGGGCGCAGCCCGTTTCACCCAAAATCAACCTATCCCGTTTCGCCCAGATAMCCGTTTTGACCAAAGCCATTTTAGTCGTTTTCAAATTAAGTTGGCAATGGTTTTTAAATAATATAATACATATGATATATCATTATATAACTTTTATTATTATTATTAGATATTTTTAAAAAAAGTCATAGGAAAAGTTTTTATAAAATACATCATATTTAATTATACATT